TTGGTCTGCCCACTCCTTGTACATGGCCTACAGTATGGTTTAGACGAGGGGTACGTTTCCCTTCTCAACAGGCCACGCCCCCAACTGTTCCCTGGACTTGGGTCGACCCAACAGGTGCAGATACTTTTATTTGAGACCTGGCAAACTATTTGGATTAGATGATTCAATAAAAAGGAAGAATCGGTTAAATGACCAAGACTGCGGCAACATTTTTTGCAATATTAACAGATCGAATACGTCCAAATGTTCCTGTTTTTTACCCAGAGAAATCACTTGATGTCATTAAAAGTAGTGAGGCTTTCACACAAATTGTCCAAAGTCTCTCATCTTGCTGCGAGCGTTTGACACTGAGGTCGTATGGCACGTGTGACAGAGTGCTATATGCTTTTATTGGAGGCCATTATTGAAATATACGTCCACTTGAAGGTCACGCAGACACCAGTCATATATCACGGGATAATCCCCATAAGTACCGAGCCGAGATTTATGTACAAGTATCTTTATGCTCTTCCAGATCGATCCACTCCAGAGAAAAGCCGCTCATTAGACGCAGCAGAGAGAAGAGTGAAGGACACAGCTGCTTTACTTTTGGCAACAATAACTGAGTTTTAGAACAATGTAGTGGCTCCGCCGTTCTGTCATGAGTCTGTTCTGAATTAATCCACAATCAAATCAATTTATTTTGGTATTGCTCAAAATCACAACCGCAGTCATTTTGACGCACGTCACTGAAAAGTCTGCCAACAGATTAGAAAATCATACAAAAGAATGAAGAGCAAAGGCATTTGTCCAACTAGAGAAACAGGTATTCGCCAAAGGATGCACTCAAGAGGCTTCACATGACATTGTTCTTTCTACTACTGTAGCCACAGATGCCCTGGGACACACAGAAGTGAAGCCATCAGTATGTGCCGTTGGCCTCTCCCAACATCAGCACCAACCATTCAAACACACACACACACACACACACGCACACCAGACTCATTCTAGGCAATGTGGATGATGTGTCTTGCCTAATATGGACAGTTTGGCACTTTACAGCCGCAGCCGCCCCACCGTTGCACCTTGTGTTCCCAGAGGACTACCATCACAGTACTAACCAGGCCCTGTCCTGCTTAGCTTGTAACGGTCAGTTAGGTTGTAGCACCATATTGCTGTATGAACGCTGTTGTCCTGTTAGCAGAGGCACGCGCATTTTCTCTCTCCAACTCTACGTAACAAGTGGTGCGGGTCAAATACCTGTCATGTAAGGCATTATATTGAGTCATCAATGACTCTTCTGGCCATCCTGGGAAAGCCATGTTCCAGCTTCTTCCCTCTGGCAGAAGATATCGGTCGCTGAGATGCAGGACATCTCGCTATGCTAACAGCTTCTTTCCACAAGCTGTTAGGTGCCTAAACAGAGCACTTTAATTCCTGCTTTTACCCCTTGTATCGTTTTTGTTGATCCGTGCCACAGTGTCAGTCGTAATACAGGGTTTCCACAGAACATTTAAAAGCATTAAATTAGATTCAAACTGGCATTACATCTAAGTTTCTTTTCAAATGATGACATTGCTCAACAATTTTTACTGTGTAAGTTCATCAAAAATATCAAAAATGATGGTCTAAAACATGTTCAGCTGCAGTTTGGGCGGAAATTGACTACATTTGTTTTTCCCGTTTGGTCCCATTCTCTACTATGATGAAATGTTTGCAAATCTTAAGAAATTAAATCTGCACCAATTTGTTTCTGTGTTTGTGGTATTAAATATAGTATTTTTGGCTTTAAATCACATTATAAAGCATTACATTTGACTTTGCTTCTGCCTGTATAAACCTTGTAATATATTTTATTGAAATGCTAACATTGAACATGTTTGTATATTATTAAAATGCCACAGAATTGTGACTTCTATCCCTGAAAGAATCCACCACCAGATATAATAATATTTTGTAAAGTACAAACGTTTATCAGTGTGTAGAATGAAAGATAGTAATTCATGTAAATGTTCATAAATATGTTTGCCCAAAATGTCTCATCTTTTGAATTTGTAACACAAACGTCTATTTACCATACAACACACAGCCAGTGAAAAATTCCATTCTCGAGACTATGTTCTACATCATACAGAATCAGGGCCACAGATTTTTACAACGTTACTTTTCTTGTACACATTACAATTAATAGTGCAGACATCACAGACAAACCACACCAGCCCAAAACAAATGATCAGCTCCACAAACTTGACACTCCATCCACAGGAATTCGATCATTACTTTCAGCAGTGTACAGAGGTTATGTATGTGAAGAATATGATGAGGCCCTGGCTACTATTTCAGGAATAAAATAAAATTTTGGCAATAATACAGTACAAATTTGTTTAAATACAGTTAATTTGCATTGAAGACATGTCTTCAATCCCTATTAAACAAAATCTGATGGTTTAATTATAAACTTTCATAACTTTTCAGTTTTTGTCCATGTTGGACAGCTTAAAGGTGTGTAAAAGTATGACTGGAAGGAGGCATCTGGGCTGAAGTGAAAAAAATTACTTTTTATAGTAGAGGCAAATGAAGGGCATTTTCTGAAAGCTTATGTTAAATGGAGTAAGATGATGTAATCATAATGCCTGTACCCCACACCTGTTTTTAAATATTTAGGCTTAAGTACTGAATTTGGGTAGTTTTTAAATGCACATTTTTCAAGAACCGTATTAGCTATCATCACAAACTAAATTTTGTTGGATCAGTTTTGACCTGATTGTTAATATAAGACCACTTAAAACTAGGGGCTGCTGTAAATTTATTTACATACAAAAAAAAATATTAAGTAAACATATTAAATGGCATAATATTGGCATGCCAATTACATATGTATTATATTATGTATTGACAATCAAAATGAGTACAAATTATTTTAGTTTTAATAAATGTCTCTTGAAAAAATAGCAACATTAGAAATTAACCATAAATTACTACATTTCCCATTACCCCCTGCCTGCATCTGAACGTCCATCGCCGCCATATTTGAAGTTCTGTAGTTACCATATTAGGCTTCGAGATTAGGGCTGTAATTATGAATAAAATCACAATAAACCACCCATAAACCGTAGCCGAATTATTAATAACTTTTAGAAAATATGAAAGCTGTGCTTACTTCACAAATACGTGTTGACATTTTAATGTATAACATTAGTTACTGTCAGCTGAGTGGGTGCACTATTGTGTTGACGCTAGCTAGGGTTGACATCCTTAAAACGTGTGTGTTTAGACATCAAATAAACCAGCGGAACTACTTAATATTGATACATTAATGAGGTAGACCTTAAAGATTAGGCAAATTATTTCGGATGGCCATTTATTTTTACTTTTTCCACAACTACGCGGTTACCTTGGTAACCGTAAACAAAGGCCATGAGCGTTCAAACAACCAGACCTTCTGTATTTGTTGTAATTCGTTGTATTTAATTTTTTGTTTTGATTTTGAGAACACAAACGTATATTTCATAAAAACTCCAGAGTGGTGTTGTTTTTTCCCCGTAATTATTTATTGTATAAATTGTACAGTTCATTCTATGTGCATTTACCTTAATGAGTGAATGGTTTTGACAATCCTAACACCATAAAGTAGCAGTCAAAAGGAAGATTGGATTTAATAATGAGTCACTGAGGAATTTAAAAGGATAAATTTAATGAACATATAAATCAAATATTATGAAAAATCTCAAATTAAATATTGTGTGACTGGACAAAGTTGGCCTTTGGCTCCCAGGTGTTCTTCCATTTGGCACCGCTGTGGAACAAAAAAAAGAAAGATGAAAAACATTTAAGGCTTTAAAAAGGAAAGGTTGGCATGCCCTTTCTGTCTGTTGTATTTGATACATAGAACCGATCATCCAATAAATAAAAAGTGACAGTAAGTGATGTGTCTCCTGCCACTACCCAAAGGGAAATAGTAAAAAAAAACATTTAACATTTAATAATAATGTATATCTTTAACAGCATCCTTAGCCATAGCCAATGGGTCTTTCTCTCTCCGGTCTTGAGCTCAGCAAGGATAGAAGGATAATGACTGGATGCAATCTAAATAGTTGCAACAGTAACCAACAGCTCTCTGTGAAATAGTCACAATAGCATGTGTAATAATAACAACCAAACAAAATCAGGAATAATAATAAAAACAATAATAATAATAATAACAACAATTACACTCTCATCTGAGAAGAAGCGAGCACGCTCACAGTAAAGGCACATGCTGTTGAGGGTTCAATTACCTATCCTCTGACTGCATCCTGTGATTTAAGTTTTAATGTACTTTAATGAACAGGTTTTCATACATACCAAGTTGTGCAAGGCTGCCACTGGACGCATACCTCTTCACGACCCTTAAATAACATACAGAGGTAATTAAAATACATAAACAAATATACACTTCTTACTACAATAGTAAACATCAATACAAAGTTATACAATGAAGCATGTGGCACAGCTTTCCAGGAATAGAAGTACTATGCTTGAAATGTGTGTCACCAAAAAGAAGATTGCTTTTCTCTGGTGGACTCTGGTGTTAAAACACACTAAAATGATAAACAGTGTAAATGGCAATTGGTCCTAAATTAACTTAGCACTTCCACCTACATATTTTTTATTGGTTTATTTGGTTGGGAGAGTGCATGTTAATGAATGATGTTTTTTCCTTTAATCTTGTCTACAAACCTCCCTCACTCTGTCCCTGATAATTTTCTTGACTGGGTAGAATTCAAGATTATGATGGCATTCTGAAATGTATTGAGAGAAAAAAAGCATTTCTATTATGTACATGTTTTTAACGTGTGTTTAATATTAAGAAGGAAGGTCAGTAATTGAAATGATTATTATCATTATTAGTAATAGTAGTAGTACCTTTAGGTTTTTTGGCCCTCTTCGTTGCAGCTTTTGGGGCAGCAGTAGTAGAGGTTGAAGAAGGTTGTACGATAACAGCAGAGAGGTCAGAAGCAAGAGTAGGTGAGGAGAAAGAGCTAGGAAATAGAGGGGTGACAGTGGTCAGTTCCGAACTGTGTGGAGCAGATGAGATTGTAGTTGTGCATAGAGGGGTAAGAGTAGTAGAGACAGAAGAGTGAGGAGCAGAGGCAGGAGAGGAGCTGAATGGGGTAAGAGTAGTAAGTACAGAAGAGTGAGGAGCAGAGGTAGTAGAGGTGCTGACAGGGGTGAGAGTAGTAAAGACAGAAGAGTGAGGAGCAGAGGTAGTAGAGGTGCTGACAGGGGTGAGAGTAGTAAAGTCAGAAGAGTGAGGAGCAGAGGTAGTAGAGGGGCTGACAGGGGTGAGAGTAATAAAGTCAGAAGAGTGAGTAGCAGAGGTAGTAGAGGGGCTGACAGGGGTGAGAGTAGTAAAGTCAGAAGAGTGAGGAGCAGAGGTAGTAGAGGGGCTGACAGGGGTGAGAGTAGTAAAGTCAGAAGAGTGAGGAGCAGAGGTAGTAGAGGGGCTGACAGGGGTGAGAGTAATAAAGTCAGAAGAGTGAGGAGCAGAGGTAGTAGAGGGGCTGACAGGGGTGAGAGTAGTAAAGTCAGAAGAGTGAGGAGCAGAGGTAGTAGAGGGGCTGACAGGGGTGAGAGTAGTAAAGTCAGAAGAGTGAGGAGCAGAGGTAGTAGAGGAGCTGAGACGGGGGAGAGCAAAGGTAACAGGAGGAGGAGGTAGGAGGGTTGACCCAACAGAGTTGGAGGTCAGGGATAAAAGTGAAGTGCTCGGCCGATCCGATGTATCTGCAGGAGTAGTGCCAGCTTCAGACAGCATTCTAACTAAGGAGGGGGGGAAAAAATTAGATACTCTACATGCATTCAACCCTGAAGTTTCCCATAATGCCCTAGCCTGACTAACGCCAGACTAAATATCACTTGTGATTTTAGTCTGGCGGACCACCAATTAATTTTCTCGTAGGAGAGGTGTAGTTTACGATTGTCCATAGCCTTTTATTGTGCTGAATGTCTCTCATATGCATCTGCACGTAGCCATAGCCAATCGTATCATCGTATCAGAAACTATGGAAAGTATGGAAACCTTTGAGCTAAACTATTTAGAACACGGTCTAAAGCTTAATGGAAAAATGTATTGCGTCTGCTGCTGTCATGTTCGATTCGTAAATACACTTTGAAATTTGTTTTTATCCATAAACAAACTACAAGCTTCCGTATGTCGAATAGTGCATCATCGTCTTGCCGTCCCTCCTCGTTCTGTGATTGGTCCCAAATCCATGCAAAGATTTCGGCCATGGTCTCCAGACTGCTGTGCAGTTCGAAATGATTCGAGCGCACACAGCAGTCTGGCGTTAGCCAGGCTAATAATGTCCAAGCATTTGTGTTAATTATCCTTACCATTCAGTAGACTTTCAAAAATCTTTTTAATTGTGGCCAGAGCTTCTGCCTCCTGAGGGCAAGACGGTTCCACTGGGCACAAACATTCCGCCACAAATGTTTGCCCGATTCTCTTCCCCAGCAGGAGCAGGGGATACCGCTCCAGAACACTCCATTTGTGCAGCTGAAACACAGACATTTAACATGTAACAGTAGCATATTTAAGATTTGTTGTAGTTCTGTAGTTTCATTGTATGTTGGGATTTACCTCCCACATAAAAGCAATTCTTACTTGTGAAAGTGCACTTAAAAATACATTCAAACATTCACTGAAGTATTCAGTGATAATCACAGTTATACATGCATAAGCAGTTTACAGACTGATGAAAGTTATTTAATATGAAAACCTTTTTTCCACTCTATAATACGATAATAATCTAAAAAATACTCACAAGCAAATTTGTTGTGTCATACAGTTTATTGACACTTTTGTTTTTTTGTTGGGTGTCTTTCCAGTTCCCATCTATTTTCTTTTTGGCCGCCTCCAATTTGGTTTTGTATGGCTGCTTACAGCCGCAGATCCCGCAGATTTTGGCTGCCACTCCAATTTCTCTGTGGCAGCCAATACATTTCTTGTAAATTGCCATCTAAAGTAAAAGCACACGTACATGTTAATAAGTTGACATCCTGAACATATGTTGTGGTAAAATATAATGCTGTGGTGTACCATGTTATGGTGTAATAGATTTCATTACTGGCATTGTGTGGCAGTTTTCTCTGCCTCCAATGTTTTTTTCTGCTTTCTAACTGCTTAATGAGTACTTAGTCATCATAATGCAGTAGGCATCACCAAGTTTTGGTATATAAACTGGATTATTGAACAAGAAATCTTTGTTGTCCATAAAGGATAGTTTGCAGAACTTTCCTAGTCAAACTTTCCAAGGTCAAATAAAAGTAACAGTGTATGTGTAAGCTGCTGTCAGTAGCTTAATATATAGGCCTGTGGTTTTACCAAGATGACCTTGAGTACCATCTGAAGAAATCCAAGTAGGCCTACCACAGTTTGACAACCACTGATCTATGCATTTGATCATACTGTATCACAAAAGGTGCACATATGGACATTTATAGCTGTGAAGGCTAACACATTACGCTAACAAAGACTTACAGCTCCTATGCATGTTGTAATAAAACATTGAAGGACTTAATATATATAATTCTATACATTTTTACATGCATTTGTGTAAGACTTACCTTACTGATTTTCCCGGGAGTGAACGCATTTGCGTGGTGACGTTGTTCCGGTTGGTAACTTCTCTAACACGCAAACGTAAACATTGAACGATTTGCACTTTAGAAAAACGATCTATTTAATCGTTTCCTGAAAAATTGCAATTACAATGTTCTGGTTTTATCAATTGTAATATTATGGTTTCCTCAGTACAATGTATTAAAATTACAACCGTTTTTGACCATCTGATACTAGCATAGACTGACAAAAAAGGTAATTTGCTGACTGTATAGATTTCGGTCCTCTGGGTCGTTTTGCATCGGTGCCAAAACGACCCAATGTTCCGTTTGCGCCGTCTTGTGGTAAAAGTACGAAATTGCAGTGGAACAGGGTCTTGACATTGCGGGATTTATGTTTGATATACACTTCATTTAGATTAAACAAATATTAGGTTCTGACATAAATTAGCACAGCAATTCTAATGTTTGTTATTTACAACTCACATTTGCATTTAGTCCTGGCTTACACCTACAGTACCTCAGTATCATTTAATTGCATTACATTTATTTTTATTTTTTGCAATGGCTGTAATTACAGGATGAACAAAAGTGAAATCATGTATTTAGAAATGTTACCCATGAGCCTACATAGTAAATGGTCACAACTTATATAGCGCTTTTCCACCTTCATTAGGCACTCAAAGCGTTTTACAGCAAGGATCCACTCACCCATTCACACTCTCATTCATACACCATACACCAGTGTACGCAGACACTGGAGGCAAGGAGGGTGAATTGTCTTGCCCAAGGACACAACGACAATGTGCAGCTTCGGGAGGCGGGATTCGAACCCCCGACCTTTCGATCATGAGACAACCCTACCATCTGCGCCACAGTCGCCCTACATGTACTGCTTGAAATGAATTAAGTGTACTTCCTAAGAGTAGTTTTATCATACAGTACTTTTTACTGCTGGTTGAGTAATATTACAATTATGTATTTGTTCTTTAATCTAAAAAGCTAATCATATTAGCTCGGGTGTACTGGCCACGCCTTTTGATGACATTGCTAACTATTCATTGGTTATCCCATTACAAGACACACTTTTCAGATTCAGACTACTTTATTTATCCCTCATGAGGTAATTCCTTCAGAGCAGAAAATAACATGCAAACAATTTATTAAATGAAAAATATAAAAAAAGCCACACAAACCACAAACAAGCAAGTGGCACTCACTCATAGATTACAATTTCCTGAATAACAGGAAGAGACCTCAAATTAAAGAGAGTTCATATAGAGGTTCTTTTTCCCCGAATGGCAAGGCTTAACGACATGCTAAAGGCAACAAGGAAAATTCACTACATGGGACATGCTCAGGTGAAGCTACAACTGTCTTGGCTTTCCTAGAGATTTACTGGTTGCTTATTGCACAGTTATACATTAAACTTTAGTGACTACGTTGCTTCTAAATAAGCCAAAAACATTGCACAGATTCTGTTGATTTATGACATTTACGAGAGGTTTGTATTTTGCTAATAAAAGATGAGGCCACTCTTGTTTGGAAAGAAGGAATGCTGAGTGATCCTCTCAAATATAATAATAATAACAATAGCTTTTTATCTTTTGAAATAAAAAAGGTATAGGCTAGAATACAATTATTTTTTCATTCTTAAATTTAACAATTTCTTATCTCCAGTAGTTTTTATTCCAAGACATCAATGGCAGGATTCATCGCGCTCACATTGTGAAAGAGTGGTTCATGGAAAAATAACAAAGCCCTGGATGGAAATAAATCTTTGGATATAACTCAACCCTTGAAGCACTTTTGGTATTGTGTTCCTGCTTCTTGGTCAGGTTGTCATTGAAAATGGGAATGCCCCTACCTGGTTAAAAAAAATAATAATAACATTTAAAGAAATGTATACTCTGGTCACTGACAAACTGTAACTTTGATGCAAGTTGTGCATGTTATTAGTCTGTTAGCAACAGCGATGAATTTCTCTGTTTTCCAAAGTCAGTTAATTCCAAATGTAGTTCAGGGTCCAGTGCATGCATCCCAGTAGTAAATAATGATGATGCGTCGGCCTTTAGAAGTCTTCCTTGAAGCCTTTGGTGGTGCTGGAGATGAGGTGGGATGCATTGATGAGAAGCTGATGAGGACCAGAAGTACAGATACAGTATGTACATGAGTCTTCTATACAGCAGGTGTAAGTGAAGCCGCAGTTGAAGTCGTCCAGACTTATACGTTTCTTTTTCTTCACCCTATTTATGTGCAAAATAACAAAAAATTCACAGAAGTTTAGTCATTATAAGGTGGTGCAAAATATTCAAACAATATTCATCTTTATTGCTATCAAGTTATGACAAACAAAATAAATAACAGGACATGTTGCTGTTTAATATCAAATTGTTTACTGCACTAGCAATTAACGCGACACAGCAATGTGATCACTGTGTCAGAGTGTCGCTCGCGTCGGCAGTATACAGACAGACTTCAAACTACAAAGCACACATACATTATTGCAATAATATGAAATAGGATTGAATAGCTATGAAATGATGTTTAGGCTGTATTAGTTGGGTTTGTGAGTGACAGTCAAGGGCAGGAGGCTATGAGCCCATGTTGAGCAGGGGGTCATGTGTGTGGGGATCTGAGGCACAGTGTGGGAGCCACTACACAGGGCTGGGGACCAGAGAGATGGTGTCAGGGAGGTCATCTCCAAATGTCCGGCAGAGGCAGGAGGGTTGGAATCTATGCAAGCTTTGCGTAAAGTGTTGGAGGAGGGTAGTAAAACTATTCTACTGTCATCAAAGCACAATAAAGGAATCAGCTAACATTTTGTCATTCACAACTTTGGGCTCATGAACAGCGCATGGGAAAAACCCAGAGGTTTTCTCAGATTCGCGCCGTAGACTTTGCTCCTCCTGAAACTAACAGAAGCGCCCCATGCGATACAAGCGACTGATTGCAACTGTTTCAAGCGACCAATTAGAAGCTCGTAACGCGATATGACGTGTTAGGTGTGTACGTATAATACCTATAAGTTGTTTGATGATTCTGTCCCAGGTACAGCTGTATCCTTCCATGATGTGATGCTGCGCTGGACACAACTAGTCTTGAATACGGGCAGAATCATGATTTAAAGTGTAGGAATCTCTTGATTGTTGGAAAAAGGAAAGGGAAAGAAAAGTTAGGGGTATAACAAAAAAT